TACAACCACCACAAAAAGTTCATCTGAAACCCTATCCCTGGCTGCATTGAATTGCTTTAGCTTAGTTTACCCGATTTACCATGAAGTCATGAAGTAAAATTTTCATCTTACCTTGTATGCACAGTTGAAAGAATAATGTTAGTCTGTTTTATTAATTCCTAAACATCCTAGCATTCCTAATGCCATACTTATATTTCATATGCCTATTCTGCAAGTTAGTCAAAACCCTTTCTTGATTGAAATTCCATGTTCACCTCTAGGCTTGAGCTGTTCTCCATCTGGAAGAGCAGATGCAGGCATGTTCCCAGAAGTTGATAGCAGTTGGAAAGTATGAAAAACCATCACAAGTATTTATTCAAGCTTTTTGCATTTTTTCCTTTTTAAATCACCTAGAACTTAACACACTTACAATGGTATGAAAACACACACTTATCAAGAACTCACCAACGAAATAATAGTTACTATCTTTTTGGTAAATGGATTTACACTTGACATTTAAATATTGCAGACATTCAATGAAGTACAAATGTTGCTTAGCAAAACCAATGGGAAAGTAGTTGGTGACTTGATGACACCTGCTCCATTAGTGGTGCGTGAATCCACTAATCTAGAGGATGCAGCAAGGTTTTGTTCTTTATCCATCATTTGATCTGAGCATACTTCTTTATAAACTGCTAAATGCATCTTGTATTTAAATTTTAAAATTTGACTTAAATAGGTTTTTTTCCTAGAAATATAATGCTTTTTTTGTTGTTGAAAATTTATGCTTTTCTCTTCTTAGCGTTCTCTATCACCATTAAAAGAACCCGAGTAACCTGACTCACAGAACTTCAGTATAGCACATCATTTTAAAATTGTGCTCAATATTTCATTTCTAGATTGTCTGTGTGGCGTAAATGAAAGTGTAAATGAGTTGCATAAAGTTGACCTTAGCATTTGTCTGGAATAAACTCGTGTCAATGTGGTGTAAATGAAAGTTTAGTGATCAGTCATTTTTTCTCTACGGAGGTTGAGAGACAGGAACTTAAAAGGATGTCATAAATTACAAGGATGAATAACAAATTCTTTTTAGACCTAAAAAAACTACACTGACGATAAGCATTTTAAGAGCATTAAATGATCTAGCTCTAGCTATGAGAGCGTGCCAGAAATCCATTTTTTGCTTAATTTAAGTAGCTTTGACAATTTTGGTGTTTGACAATGAAAAGTGACTTCAATAAACAATACTACGTAATTATCTTCTTACTTTCTCTTTGGTTGTCCCAAAAGTTATTACTTCCTCCGTCCAACCCAAAATTTATTACTCCCAAAGGAAATCATTTTTTTGCTTAACTTATTACTCCGTAGTTATTAGTTATTACAGTGGATAACCCTTTTTGTGATTATGATGAAATTATTTTTGGACAGTTTTGTATAACTATTCTATATTTATTTGCACTTTACTGTTCAGCGATAATTGTCTTTTACTCACAAGCTAAGCACTTCAGCATTTTTTTGCTTCATAGACGCTCACATTTGGAACTTGCACTCATATTTGCAAACACTACCCACGTTTCCTTTTTACTTGAACAATCATTTTTTTCCCACAAAGGAAGAAACAAAAACTTTCTTCCTTGCAAAGTCTCCCAATATCTTCAACATATTTGTAACTTTTGTTCATTTTTCAGGTTACTGTTGAAAACAAAATATCGCAGACTTCCTGTTGTAGATTCTGACGGTAAGCTGGTAAGGTCATCCTGCCTCTTTGCATCATTTTACTTGTTTTTCTCATCCTCGACACCATCTGATTGAGATCTATAACGCTATTATACTGTGAAGGTTGGAATTCTCACCAGAGGAAATGTCGTACGAGCTGCTCTTAAAATAAAACGGTCAACGGAAATGCAGATCTAAAATCATGCAAGAAAATTCAGCTTCCAAATCCTGTAAGTACAGTGATACATCAAAGCACGAACCCTACATTTCTAAGTTAGAACCGCAATGTTATGCGGATTAGCTCAAATGTAGGGACCTCGCTGAAATTGTGTTTATAATAACAATATTATCTGTGATTTAGCTCAAATGCTAGGATTGATTGGGTTTGGCTGGTTGATTATCTAGTTGAGCCTGTTTTTTCCTAGATTTGTTACAAAATTATTCGAGTTTATTTCGAGTCTTGTCGTAATTCTCTGAGATTGGTCACATGGATCTCACTTCATTATGCTTACCACCATGCTACACTTACACCAAAAAGTGTACCCCAAAGTTACACTAAAGGTATACAATAACATTTTGATGATTCACACTGACACAAAATGCCGGTGCATTAACAAAAATTCGCTCTAACATTTTGTGCTTGTGTGAACTATCACCCTAGCATTACACTGACACAAAATGAAGGTGCACATATGCGGTGTACAAATTGGGGTAGAAATCTTAGGGTACAAATAGTTTAATCCTTATGCTTATTACCTTTCAACTAGCGTTAACACTAATAGGTTATAGGCATAGAAATCAATCATCACTTCTATAAATAGAGTGAAAATGGTACTCTGTACGTTCTTACTAGTTACTCCCTCAGTCTCAAACTAAATTTGCTTGTTTACTATTCGTAAGGTCAAACTTCATTCACTTTCTTTCTCTTCTTTAGGTAGTCATTCGATAAAATAAAATAGTTACGTCACCACTAGTTTTGTAGAGTTTTTGATGTAGTATTTTAATGTGTTAATTTTTATTTTAATTCTACACCATTTCTCATATAAAATGGTTTGAAATTAATTTCAGTCAAACATCGTAAACCATAACAGGTAATATAAATTGGTAGAGAGAGTATGTTTTTTGGGTATGCAGTGATGGGTTTCTGCCAAAAAAATCTCTTGATAAAACAAGAATCACAATAGTTTCTCCATGACATTTTTTTTCTTTTTTGGATGGAACAAGTAAATTACGGAGTATATTATTCTTCAATTAAGTTTAAAATCACTTGCCCTGTATATATGTTACTAGGAGTACAGTATTTAAAAACTTTTGGAAATAAAAACTCCACTTGTCCCAGGCTAAAATTTACCCCCTATATCGCAAAGTAAATACTCCGTAGCTCGTACATTATTTTATTCACATAGTCAAATTTTATTTATTTTCTTTATCTATTTTTTAGTCATTTGATAAAATAATGAAACCTGTCACTTTGTAGAGTTTTTATATAATTTTAAAACATGTAAATTCTATTTTTTTAAAATTTTTTTTTACCTCAATTGTCTTATAAATTAAATGGAATAAAACTTCTATTGATGACTTCAAATTTGATTTATCTTCTTCCAGCACTTCAAGTCTCTTCGATCTCTTTCAATTCATCTCATCTTCCTTAAGGTTGTCAAGCATCATCTTCTTCATCCTCCGCCGCCGTCAATTGCTCCCATCTACTCATCCTCCGACATTGGACTCCGACCTAAATTTTTTCTATAATGTAGCATTTTAGCCCGGCCCAAACCGTACTTTGATTTGGTGTGGGTGGGGGGGGAGGGGGACGTGGGGTGGACGCCGGTAGTCAAAGATTTTGTAATCTTTGTGTTCAACTCCACGAGAAGAAAAATAGTACTCCATGCTGCATTATTAGCACCCTTTGGGCGGTTACATTTAAAACCATAATTATAATTATGACCATTTTAAAAAACATGCAACGGTGGTCTTCAAATGTTATGGTCCATTTTATGGATATTTATTTACACTACTCCAAATTAAGGAGTTGGATAAGTACTTGGGATCCGTACCAAAATGTCGGCATTCAGTTTGGTAAATGTTTGGCATTCAGTTTACACCAAGTTGTACTTACTACGGAGTATATCACAAACTTGTACCCCATTCTTATCTATATATAAATTTGAATGTATAAATTTCATTTTTTTATTTTGGTGCATATTATCAAAGTAAACAAAGTTATGTCTTATTTAGAACCGAGGTAGTATTGTTTTAATTTGAAGTGTAATAAAAATGAGTTTCCTAAGGTACTCGTCTTATGGATTTTAATATATTGATATCATAACAGAATTGAGTGTTTTGAAGAAAATAAGTTTTTTCTTACCAGCCCATGAAAAGTGTGAGAAAGTCTACATTTTATATGTGATCTTAAGATCACGAAAGAATAGCTCGTTATGCTAATGACACATATTGTCACTAGAATCTAGTTGTAGATTCATTTTAACTTCTATTTTTAGAATAAAAATATAAAACTCCTATTTTGGTATATTATCAATAATTTACTTCTACTTTAGTCTTTTCCTTATTTAAAAATTAAATAAAAAAATTTATAAAATTAGTGCTGACACGACTATATTATTTTTTCAGTCATGAACAACGAAAATAAGAAAAAAAATGAAGTTTGACTATTTAAGAGTAAGATTTTGTGTCAACAGTTGAGAGTAACACTTTGTGTCACATTGGAATATTTCTGTTTCATACGGGAGTATAAATGGTCACGTCTGGTCTGAAAGAATTGGCATCTATCTTCTACCTTTCGATTTACCTGGACCATTTTTACTGCACACACCCTTTTATTCCTAGGTGTCATTTGTTTTACTGCACACGCTCTTTTTGTTCTTCCAAATAAGGATGTGTCTTATCTCTTAGTGTTTCCTCAAACCCCATCAAACAATCTATCATAAAGAAATAACTTAAATTTTACTTGTTATAGAGGCTTTATATTCAATATAATCATCTTCTAACGCAATTATTATGAATAAAACTCAATTCTTACTCCGTTGACCCTAAAATCATACTAAATTTGCCACCAAGAGTTTGATACCTAATATTTTATTGGATACAAAGTAGATAATATTAACTTATCTACAAAACAATTAATATTGAACTTTTAGTGTCAAAACTAATAATTAGACATGATAAAAATAATGAGCCCGGTAAATCGGTTCTGGGAATAATTTGTTTTGAGATCCGATTCACTTGGATAGGACAAGTATGTCGGAGCAAATGAAGAACTTTTTTTAGTAATTCTTAGGAAACATCAAATTATACCCCAAACTATACACCGCTATCCTCCCAACCACATATCTTTCATCCAGAATCTAAAAATTGAATCTTGAATTTAAAAAAAATGGTAGAAAAAGGATTGGTTGAATTTTTTGGGAGTGGAATAGGGTGTACCAAATGTGTGTCACATTTTACTACATGGTTAATAATTGAGACTTTTCCAAAGGGTGAATATGAAATCAAATCCTAGTCACTCCAAACCATCTTTTTTTTTACTCGCAAATTTTACCAGCGCACCCCTTATCTTATTCTAAATTGCATATTGGCCTAGTCAACCGCCGACGCACTCACCAATAACCAACATCCGGGTCTTCCGGTTCGGGCATCTCGTTCAAGTCGGGCTTCTCCTCGAACCAGCAAGCTTTCTCCTTCAACCGGGCCGGGCTTACCTTACCGGCCGGCGAATCCTCCCTCCCGCCGCGGCGTTCGGAGCTGTGGGTGGCGTCCACCCGGGACCCGACTTCGATCGCTTTCTTCCGTATAGAGGCGGTGGACAAATCGCTGAGGGCGCCTCCGCCTTCGGTGGCCAGCAGGTCCGGGAAGTTCAGCCGCGCGTTGGGACCCCGGAGGTAGAAGACGGCGATGTCGTAGGCCCTCGCCGCCGCAAGCGGCGTCGAATAGGATCCTAACCACAGGCGGGACCGCTTGTTGGGTTCTCTGATTTCGGCGACCCACTTCCCCCACTTCCTCATCCTGATTCCTTTGTACGGTTTGGTCTTCCTCTTCCCGCCGCTAACATCTTGGATCTCCTCCATCACCATAGATATATATAAAAACCCAGAAATTGCAGAGGGGGGAGAGGGGATTGAAGGTTGAAGATGATCAAAATCTGATGAGATTGAGAGATGGGGAAAGATTTATTATAGCCATAAATTTGAAAAGAGATGGCCTATAATATACGAGTTGGTACATGGTACATCCGGATGTACCTAGAAATAGTTACATCCCGGTAGTACTCATTCTAAAATAAAGTAGTACTCATTCTCGTACAAATATAAACATTAATTTCGAAATACGCAGTACTCATTCTGACAAAGGTAGTACTCATTTTAAAATAAAGAAGTACTCATTTTTACACATTTGTCTAATATAATTATAATAAATAGCGTAGTGTTCATTCTTTAAAAAAACAATACTCATTCTCAAATAAGGAAAATTTCATTCTGAAACAAAGTATTGTTCAATTTTTTCACAATTAAAAAGTTCAGTATCATCATCAACTTCTTCTTCTATTCAATTCGTTCCTACTCATTTATACTCTCTGAGTATGGAGAATTTAAAACTCAGGTTTATTCATGTTTGTATTGAATAACGATATGGTACTCGTTCTCAAATCTGCTGGTACTCATTGTCATATATAATAGTTATCATACATATGTTCTGGGCATTGGAAAAAAAGTTTGTAAAATTTACAAAAATACCAGGATGTACCTAAAGGAAGGTACAGCTGGATGTACCATATAATTTGTCATAATATACAGAGCATTCTCTCTTAAAACCTTTTTTTTACTCTTATTTTAACTATTCAATCCACTATGGTGGGAGAATGTCATTATTTATATTGGAAATTTTGGAGGAGTTTTGGGAACCTTTGGATATACCAAATTCAAACCAGTTTTTTTTTGGTAAATGTTATTGTGAGCCTAAAGTTCATATATTTCATCTAGGCCTACAAAAAAGAGCGTAATTTGTATATACTTTATTTATACATAAAATAATTTTTAAATTGATAACATTTTACATAGAATATAGTACTAATTTCAACTCTATAAGTTCACCGATAGTCAATTATGGCACTAATTCTCATTGTATTTTTTAAGATTTTATTTTATTTGGTGTATATATCTTTTTTTTTATTTCGGTGTTTTTTTTAAATAAAGTGTGTCTATTTAGCATTTTTATTTTAAAAATGTTGAATAATGTATAAGAAACGGAGAGGTATGACGAAAAAGAGATAACATTGTAAGTGTCTTAGGCAGGATTGAAAAAGAGGAGAATGAATATGTAGCATACAATGAGATGGACGTGGCGAGATGGCATTCCATTGCAAACATTCTGAAGGGAGAATAAGAATAGAATAAACACAAGCAAACGAAAAAAAATGTAAAAACAAGAATGAAAGAAAAAAAATATTGTTATTTTCAGTTTCTTCCAACATTTAACTCTTTTTTTATAGTCCTAAAGAATAGGCTTAGAGAGTCCATACACATTATATGACTAGCTTTCTCCTTTTTGTTTGAAATTGGGAAAGGCAGTTTGCCAGTTGATGGAAGGCTGACCCCGAAAGCACTATATTTTCCTGCTTTCTACAATTTGTTTATTAAGCTCTTCTTAATTCTTCATTAAAATTTCGTTTGGCTTTTGCCTTTTTGCGTGGTTAAATGAACACAGTAAATTATACCGTACTGTTTATATATGTAGACGAAAAAAGAAAGTGAAATTTGCACTAAATAGGACTAAAACATAATGACTTTCCTAATTTAGGACTTAAACTTTTTTATTCTCTAAATAGGACTTATTAATGTCTTCCTGAAGGAATAATGTCCAGCAATGATAGACATTACTTGAATAATAACTAAAGAATAATGACCAAAGGTCCTACATTCGGAAATAAAAACATATGGTCCTATTTTGGGAAAGTCTTTATGTTTTAGTCCTATTTAGGTAAATTACTCAAAAAGAAATACTCGTAATAATATACTCCGTATTTACTAATTTTATTTCTATTAAAGACCTTGTAATCTAGTGATATTAATGTGACTCTCGCTAATGCATGAGAGATAAAAATTTAATATATCAAAATAATATCCTAAGATAAGTACAATTATATTAAATTTATATTGTAATAAATGTTATTTTCACACAATTTATAGTAAAAAATATTAGTGTTTGACAAAAAAAGTTAAAAAAAATATGTTTAAGACTGGAAAGAGTAGATAATAATACTAGAACAAATATACTCCAGGTACAGTAGAATTCATTTTTTTTTTTGAACTTTAATAATTTTATTACAAAATAGTATATGCACATATATAATTATTTAGAGGAAAATTGAAAATTATTTTGAGAAGAAGAAAAAGTAGTGGTACATTAATCTTTGGTGGAAATTAAAATGAATAGGGGTGCCACGTGGGCAGGTGGATGGTCGGTAGTCGGCAGTTCAGAGAGGGGTGGGGACAGGTGTGAGTGGACATGGATTATTTTGGATGTTATCAAAAATCACGGAAGTGCCCTCACCGTTGGTTGGACCTTTTTTTGTTGTCGGCGGAGATTCCTACGCCACCATCATCATAATGTCTCAAGAAATATACTCTGTAATTCATTTCCCTCTAACATTATATTTGATTTAAGGAATTTAAAAAAATAAGAAAAAAAATTGAGAGAGAATAAATTTTCATTTTTGGTTAGATAGAATAGAAAAGTAATATGAAAAGAAAATGAGAAAGTAAAATATGATAAGAGGAAAAACTAAATTTCTCTGATTTTGATGAGAAAAATAAAAGAAAATCATTCTCTTTTCTTTCCTTTCAAAATATTTGAACCAAACATAGCATAAATGCTTCACATTTTTAAAAAAAAGGCAAAAGATCATATTTTTTCAATTTATTTTATTCAAATATTAGTATATAAATAAAAAATAACATTTACATGTTTAAAAAATACCAAGTACATTAAAAGTTTTTCAAAATAAGAGGTGTCAAAAATATTTTATTTAACTCTATCCTTTTTAAAATGTTTTTACCAATTACAATTCACAGGGCTAAATTTTAATCATTTTCTTAGTCAATTTTTGTTAGTTATATGATAAAATAATATAGAATTGTCTACTCTTGTTTTGTAAAATTTTTGATGTACTTTTTAAATATACAAATTTTATTTTTTATTTTACAAGAACAATCAACTAAATTGAATTGAAAATAAAATCGGTCAAATGTCGTAAATAGAAACAAAAAGAATATTTTAAAACAGAGGGGTATCAAATAACCATGAAAAAGGACAAACAAACAAAAAAAAATTGTGAGTGTTGAAAAAAAAATTGTAATAAACATTTTGAAATAGAAGAAAGGGAATTTCTTCCGTGCCCTCCATCCAATTCTTGTCACGTGTATTAGTAGTGATGACAATTATTTTTAATTATCCACATCATTTTAGTTTTCAGAAATTGCACATATTTCCTACTTTTTTTACTTGCATTAATTTTACCCCTACTCTCTTCTCTTTTCCCGTTTTCGTTTATTATAATAGGTCAACATTTATTTTTTCATTCGGTTCTTTCCCAACTCAGATGAAAGCCCCCAAGGGATCAGAGGGAGCAGACATAAACATCAACAAATTCAAAGAAAATGAATAGATTTGGATATGATGGACGCCGCCAATCACGGGAACAACTCTGCGTTGTGTAAAACACAGAGTAGCAGCGCCGAACTCAATTTCTCTGAGATGGGAAAGAACCCAACGGGAAAAAAAAACCCAACGATAAAAGGAGAGGGAGTAAAACAGCGGAAGGGTTGGGAATTGGGGAAGTTTTAAGGCAAGCAAAATTATGGGCCTGTTAGCAATTTCGGAAACTTAAATGATGTGGAAAATATTATTATGACTCATGCCTATTTATCCACATGGCATTCATTGAGTGGAGGGACATACATACCCCTCTCATTTTACAAGTCAACATAAAAATATCCCTCCCTTAAATTTTCAAAAACTCAAAAAGGGAAGTTTATTTAGAGAAGTATATGATTACACATGGATGTTGGATTACCAAGCACAACATATAGTTTTTGTATGTATCAAATCTCACTTTTATTAAAGAGTTAACCTTAGTTCATGTATAAGTTAATTTAGTGTCTCTAAGTTTGATTTAGTCAAATTAGTCTTTTTAGTTATGAAATGTGAATCAAATTAGTCCTTTATGCAAAATTTATATACCAAAATTAAAAGTTAGCATATTAATTGATACAAAAACTAAAATTTAAATTTTTAGTTTTAAAATTTAAAATTCAAAATTTAAAATTTTAAGTTTTAAATTTATAAGACTTGTTTCTTTGTTATAACCTAGAAAAGATCTGCCTGATTTGATTTTAACCCATTGAATTTAGATCCTACATTTGTAATTCTTTTTGTGTGGTATGGAATTCAAAATATGGAATTAGATTAATTGGAATTAGAATTCAATTCCACATTCCACATATTTTGTACTACCAATCAAAAGAATTGGAATTGGAGTCTTAGCTCCAAGCTTGAATTTCATGTACCAAACAGAGCCTAATATTTTGTTTGGTGCACGAAATTCAAACTGTGAAATTAGAGTTGATGACAATAATTCCAATTCTGCTGTTTGATAGCACAAAAATATGTGAATTTGAAATTGTTAGTGCCAAAAATGAATATATATTGGAGAATTTAATTCCATCCAAATCAATTCCATAGAATATAATTTCAACTCTCATTTCAATTCAAGTTCCGTCAATTTCATGCACCAAATGAATCCTAAGGGTGCACCACAATCAATTGCCGGCAATACGGTCTCAATCCAATTCTAATTCTATACAAGTTTTCAATTTTGAAAAGACTCTCCCCGTCCAAATTTTAGTTATAATTTGAGAATTACGAGGTAAACCCTCATAAACTTAGGTAGATATACGAACATAGTGCTATAATAAATTATTCAAAATATTAAATACTCAAGGGGAGGTGACACTTTAGCTAGCACCCTACAAACAACAATGACCATGAATTTTGCGAACAGAGCATGGAGGGGTTCAGTAACAGTAAAATACTAAAACGTTCAGCTTCCCAACAATAAAACGTTCATCAGGAAAAAAAGCATCATACCAGATATTATGGCCTATGGAATCTGAAAAAGAGAGGAACCAAAGAAGTCAATTGAGCAATCAACTCAGATTATTTGGAAGAGACGCTTAGTAGAATGGGGTGTGGTGAAAGGCAAAGGGAAGCGAAGGAATACCGATCTGCTCAGCACATGCAATCATCAACGAATGGAAAGTTGGAGCTAAATCAGAACAACTGAAAGACTCCTCCACGCACTTCAATACTCAATAGCAGAAGATGGGCATGCAATGCAATGTCTAAAACCCATATATGCATGCCCATCAACATTACATTCACCTTGACTCTACTAAAAACACGGTCAAGCTAGAGAATCAAAGAACACAAATAATTAATGAAAATAATTAATGGAGCTGGTGAAGTGGGAGAGGATGGAGCTCAAACGATATATATATATATATATGATCTACATACTGCATGCAGTTCGAAAGGACAAATTCGCCCCTTTCGTGAAAGTGTTAGGGCGAAGGAACAAACTAGGAGTAAAACATATGATATATCCTCAAAATAGGAGTTTAAACTTTTACTCCTCTAAATAGGAGTAAAACATAATTAATAAAACAAAAAAATTGCTCCCACACGCACATTTTTTTAAGATGCATGCGATTGTACCAGAGGTGGCTGCATGCGACTGTACCAGTGAGGCAGTGATTACATTTTTTTGCAAGGAGCATGATTAGATTTTAAATTAAGGAGCACTATACTAAGTAACTACATGGGACTATATTTTTTTTGCAGTCATGTTTTTTATTTTTTTATTTTTTTATTTTTTTATTTTTTTTATAAAAAGTTAAAATAAAGGTTTTAACTTAATTAATAAAACAAAAAAATGCCCCCCACACACGCTGAATTTGCGGCCAATACCAGTGGTGGATAAGTTCAAAACTAAAAGATTCTGTCAATTTCACAATAGCATGCTACCGACAACGACGACCATTATCGCAATCGTCGTCGACGGTGATGCCCACCGCTGCCATCGTCACCTCCACATACCTGCCACTATCACTTGAATCTCCACCACCGCCGTCCTCTGCTCCGTTGCACCGCTACAGAAAAACCTACAATTGACGCTTTTGATTTTTCATCATATCGTCACCGCCGACGATATCACTGCTCTATACAACAACACTACCATAAAATTTGCACCATCATCGTCACAGTGCCACATTAATAGTCAATACAATGTCAAAGAAAAATATAATAATGTCAAACATGGCATCATGCCAAACATGTCAATGCCTAACGCAATAAATGACAATGTATAATGACAAACATCTCAACCTATAATGACAAACATGTCAACATATAATGTAACAAATGACAATACATAATGTTAAAAAGGAGAAATGCCAATAAACTCTATAATTTTCCAATGTCATAATCATTCAATTCAAACTTCAATATAGTAATTCATATTCTAGATCAAGAGTGTCAATCGAATTTTTATTCCAAGTACCCCAATCACACAAACAATAAGATTTTCTTTTTTGCATATAAAAAAACTAAAAAAGAACGATCATCTCAAAAGTTTGTTTGGATTCTTTGATTTGTTCAAATTATAGCTAAAATCTACACAAAGAGTAAACACAACAAATCCAAAAAGAAATATGCAACGAAAACATGAAAAAAAAAGTTTAGAAAATCATTGAAATCCAACGAGATTGCATTGTATGCACGCAACACACACAAAAATTCCAATGACAATTTGCAGCCCCAACAAATATAAACATAGATCTAATCAAGAGTCATTGAAGGAATTTGATGAATAAATGAAACTAAAAACATGCAAATGAATTGAAAAAACAGGGCAGCGAGGGGACACAGGCGATGGCGGAAGGGGGCGGCGGCAATGGCGGAAGGGGCTTGACGGCGATTGCCGCACCAGCGGTGCAATGCTGAAAAGGAGGAGAGAGAAAGGAGGTGGGACGGCTGTGTTGTTTTACCAATCGATCGGGAAGTGGAGCGGAGTAGCGGACACTATATAAAATTACAGAGTAAATTCTAAATTGGATTATTATACTCAATAAATACTCCTATTTTGGGTGTATAAGTTTGGGACTTCTATTTTGGATATATGTCTAATGATTTACTCCTATTTAAGGAGTTTTCTTAAAGTGTTATTCATGATTTGTAAAACACAAAGACTTGCAAATTCGCAAGTTCTCAAGGCATGGGCATGATACCAAAATTCATTCAAGAACTTCGGTGGATATATTCATGCATGTGTTTAAGAACGTAACCAAAGCTTTCAAGCAGGGCTTTCTACTCCCAAAACTAATAGACTTAAAGGGGGAGGCAACACTCAAGAGATGGGGTATAGAAAGGGTGTTGGACCTAAAATATATGAATTATCCTAGAGATACATCAACATAGTTATATTATTTGCACACCAAGCTAACACATATCTATGCTACACAAATTATATGAAAATTTAGTGTAATTTTTTCTGTAATATGCGATGAAACTTTTAGAAAATGGAAATGGAGGGAGTAGTTGACTCACCATGCAATGCTTTAGAGAGGGAGGGAGGGAGGAACACGAAAAAGCGACTCCCCACTGGTAAATTAGTTAAAGTGTCGCCACAAACCAAATTTCAATTCTTCACCATCTTCATCTTCTTCTTCTCCAACCACTCTGCTCTGCTTCATTAACCTCAAAACTCCAAATCCCGACCAAACCAGTCTTGTAATTAGCTTGTGTGAATTGAAGAAGCTAATTAATTAAGAAGATGATGGCGAAGATCAACAACAACAATAACAATCTCCAGAGCACCCACACCAAATTCATACTCGTTCACCCTCATCACATTCAGAAACAGGGCCGCGTTTGGCATTCTTGGCTCCTCGTTTCTCTTGCTTCCTTATTCGCCCTCGCATTCACTCTCACCTTCTTCTACGCCAGATCCCACACCCAAACAGCCCCTGTCCCCGCCGTCACGCCACCGGCGGCCGCCCTTCCGAAATGGGTGGCGAGGGCACTCGTCCACTACGCCTCCGAGTCCAACGGCACCGACCGGATGCCGTACGCCGACATCAAGCGGGTCTCCGACGTGCTCCGGCAGTGCTCGCCGCCGCCGTGCAACCTCCTCGTCTTCGGCCTCACCCACGAGACCCTCCTATGGCAAGCCCTCAACAGCAACGGCAGAACGGTGTTCGTCGACGAGAACCGGTACTACGCCGCCTACTTCGAGGAGAAGTACCCGGACATCGAGGTCTACGACGTCCAGTACACGACGAGACTGAGCGAGATCGACGGGCTGATGTCCGCCGTCAGACGGCAGTCCCGGAACGAGTGCCGGCCGGTGCAGAATCTTCTCTTCTCGGAGTGCAAGCTGGGGCTGAACGATCTTCCAAACAGCCTGTACGAGGTGGATTGGGATGTGATCCTGGTGGACGGGCCGCGGGGGTTTTGGCCGGAGGCGCCGGGGAGGATGTCGGCGATCTTCACCGCCGGGGTGCTGGGCCGGAGCAAGAAAGGGGGGAAGCCGAAGACGCACGTGCTGGTGCACGATTACAACCGGAGAGTGGAGATGATGGTGAGTGAGGAGTTCCTGTGCAGGGAGAATCTGGTGAAGTGGTCGGAGGGGATGATGATTGGGCATTTTGTGTTGGAGAAGATGGATCCCAACTCCTTTGAATTCTGTCGCGGCCATAACTCAACATAGATCGGCCCATCATGATCCAGTGCTGCAAATCCGGCCATGATCGTCTTCTCTAGACTAGTTGTGCATCGTATGGATTTATTATGCTACACTAGTTGGTTTCTTTGTGTCCAAAGTTCCCATATAACCAACCATTGGCCACCACTTCACTCGAATGTCCCTTCGGAATCATCTCCAACTAGTCAATCAACGACGCCTCAAGCCTTGAACTTCCTCCTAGTACCTCTCGGCCCTTGACTCGTTAATCAATTTTGACGTATAATTTATTGTCAAAATTAAAAAAAAAAATTGCACTAAATAGTACTAAAATAATATGGAGTATGTTCTTTCCCAATGTAATATTTGAACTTTTTTGTTCTCTAAATAGTACTTGAATAGTGTCAGTGACGAGAATAATGTCCAGTGATGGTAGACATTCAGTTTCAATAGTATTCAGTAGCGGTGGACATTTACTTAAACAATGACATGTGGACATTGAATAGTGGTTCGATCTGCTTTGGAAAAATAAAAACATATGGTACTATATTTTAGTAGTATTTAAGTAAATTCTAGCAAAATTAAATGGTTGCGACAATTATTTTAGTACCATCATCATCACAATCATTTGCCCATTTGCACATAAAAATTGAGCCATGGCAAAACAAGTAAGGCACCTGAGAATTGAAGCTAAGCTGCATAAATAAACAACTCCCCTAACAGATTGACAATGAATGTGAAACAGAGTATATGGCGCGCAAGAATATAATTAATCTTGTGCTTCTTTCTTTTATCAAGGTGATGGATCGGAGGAAGACAATTAAGCGTAAGAATAAGGTTAATTAATAATGTCAGTCGAGGTCGTCAGTCGTGTCCGTGCAACAACATCTCTTCAAATAGGAGGAAGAAGAAGAAGAAGAACAAGCCAACGACGAGATATTGAAAGAACTGGACGCCGGAGTGCCGGCAAAAAGATCCTGGGCGGCAACAGGCCGGCGGCGGCAGAGGAACCTGCAGGGGAGGAGAATAGGAGGAAGAGCTGGGCGGAGAAGCGACTGGAGCCCGCCGGAATCTTGCATGGCCGGTTCTGGTTTGGGCAAGAAGGTCGAAGCCATTGCCTGAAGGCAGTTTAGGGCTCGTATTCATTAGCTCAACCGCCACTGAAGCAGCAAGCTAAGCTGAGCTAATTATAACAACCAAATTAAAGCTCTTATGCTGTTATGTTAAAAAAATAATGATTCTTAACCTCTTAATGTTAGTCTATGAGTCCACCGTCCACACTCTAGAGAAGGTGAATAAGGCATTTAAAAACTTTTCAAAGTTTAATAAAATTGGTATTGACAAATGCGGAAACAATGAATAAAACACATATTTAAATACGTAAAATAAACGGCATACCAATTTTATATAGTTTTGCGAAATCTCTACCCTAATACAGTAATACCTTAAGACTCCTTATTAAAGCCAAATTTTTGAATTCACTAACTCCTAGTCATTTGAACGCCGTTAAAGCACCACACTAGTTTGACAAACAATTCTTGCCAATAAAATTAATCCCGAGAATTTACAACGGCTATCTTGAACCGCTTAAAATGAAGGTTTGCAAGTCATCTTCTACCTTTTCACCCCAATGATTTGAAAGTTATCTTCAAACCTTTTATCCAAAGATTTCTTAGATATCTTTACACGTTCGCACAAGGATTTATACAGTTATCCTCGACCGTTACAATGAATGAAGATGTGTTTAAAAACATAGAAAAATATTTAATACCCTTTGGCCTATGATAAAGAAAAAGATCAATCATTGGCTAGTGAAGAATAAAGAATATACTATGTAAAAAAATACAAGACCAGCCTGATGAATATGGACGTATATATTGTACGGAGTATTAACAAGCTCAATGTGTGCGTATAAAATCAGAAGAAAAGCAAGGCCTTAGAAGCCTAATTATAAATAATGAAAAACAAGTCTATGAGCACACTAGAAAAATGAAGTATAGTATTTGAGAGTTTGGGATTATGATAAAGATCAAGGATTATGATCCTATCTATACTTGAATATCAAATATGTCTGTTGGTAAGTGTTTGAAGCTGATTTGGAAGGATTTTGACTCATAAAAATATGATTAAAATCAAATTTGGGATTTTGAATAATTTTATCGTTGAACAGGTAGGTAGGTACGAGTGTCGTCCAAATGGTATCCGGGTCTCGTGGGCACGGTACCTAGGTACCTTCTCCAACAAAAATTACCTGAAGGTAGTTGTCTTGCGATACCTATTCCAGTAGGAGATCCCATGCAGACAGTAGGGGGTCCTGAATCACTGTTTTGGTTTTTCTAGTTTTGGTCAAATCCTTTCCTAAAACTTTTGAATGTTTATTTGAAAAATGGTTATAAGAAGGTTTTAAACATATTTTGTGAGTGTATTTAAGATTGTAAATATAGGCATATAAAATTATATTTTTACATTGAATTCTACATGTATTATACACCTATTTAGTATTCCAACTTCATTGTTGAGAACCATAACTTAATAGATTCTTGTTACGTTGTCCTTGAAACACTCAAACATACATTATTTCATATATTACTTGTTAACATCAAAACACAAGATTTAACACAATAAGGTTAACACTTAATATTTTGAATAAACCCTCAATTCGTCCCCACCCAAACCTACCATCATATCCATTTTAGTCGCACCCCAAAATTTACTTAAGATTAAAATATTTGAACTTAAATCTAACTAAATTCGAGAGATATTATTGAAGTGAGTATGAGAGTCGATTCGGGTCAAACCGGAATGAGAGAGTTACTGATCGAGGACATTAGAAGAAATAGAAACATCAATTCTATAAACGAAATACCATAGGTACTTCGATTAAAATTGATTTCATATTATGACATAAACTTGTAATGTGAGAAGAAGGGAATTCTTCATCTTTTTGCCAAACATAATGTACATGAGACTTGATGAGAGTATGAGACACATGCAATGATTTTTTCCAATCATAGAATTGTGGTCCTTTGTATGGAGTGGAGTATTAAAGATTGGTATTTATGTTGTACAATAATATTGGAAGAATTTGGTTAGCCCTTCGATCACATTCCTTAATTGCACCGCATTAAGTGTTATTACCAAACCTGTCACCCCTTACCAAAACCCGTCAAAACAAAAATGTTTCGGGCAAAGCGTATCAGATTAGCCTCCCCATCGTCATCTTCTCTACCAGATTCTTCTGGTTCTGACCTTTGGCCTCCCATGTCCGATAACCCGTCAAATCCGGGTCACTGTCGAACCGAATTCGGGTGTCGGATCACGTCGTCTCCGAACTGATCAAGCAAAGCGAAAGTGAAATGGTCTTTGATTGATTCGTGAGATTGAAGAAATGGTTTGTGATTTTACAGATTAACATATCTTCACCAAACATTCCCACTCTTCAAAGCTACTCTCCTCATCCGATTCTAGTTCTTCTTTCTAATTCAACTCTCCAGATTCCGATTTCGTCGCTCTTCGTTCTCTCTCTTTGACTTGAGAGAGTGGTGAACATGATGAAGCTGACGGGGTTGCAGCAGCAGGGCCGCCGGAGCAACAGCTTCAGAGGATCGTCTTTGGATTTGTCGTCTGACGGCTCAATGAAGTCGCCGGCGTCCCTTTTCTGGCTCCTCCTCCACGCTATCTGCTGCCTCGTCAGTCTGCTTCTCGGATTCAGATTCTCCCGCCTGGCGCTCTTCCTTGTCTTCTCCAACTCCTCTCCCACCACGCCGACTTACAGCCTCTACGCAGCGCAGTTCAATGCCGCCGACCTCACAACCGTGGAGGCTCGCGGATCTCCGGCGTCTTTCAATAGCAAGGTGGTGGTCGGCCGGCACGGGATATTGATACGGCCGTGGCCTCATCCAAACGCCACGGAGGTGATGAAGGCTCATAGGATAATCGAGATTGTTCAGAAGGAGCAGAGGATTCAGTATGGAGTAAAAAATCCTAAGACTCTAATTGCAATCACTCCGACCTATGTCCGAACCTTCCAGACTCTGCACCTCACCGGAGTTATGCATTCCCTCATGAACGTGCCCTATGAAGTCATCTGGATGGTGGTTGAAGCAGGCGGAACCACCAACGAGACCGCCTCTTTGATTTCCAAATCAGGACTCAGAACCATCCACTTGGGAATTCGTAACCGAATGCCTATCATGTGGGAAGGTCGCCACGATCTGGAGACGAAAATGCGAGTTAGGGCTTTAAGGTATGTGAAATTGAATCTGTTGATTTTTAAGCACACTGTGTATAGCTCTATAAACTGGATGGATTGATTATGTTGATTCATTCATGAATTGGATGAATGTTGATTGAGCAGATATGTTAGAGATGAGAAACTGGATGGATTGATTATGTTCATGGATGATAGCAACATGCACAGTTTGGAGGTTTTTGATGAAATTCAAAAGGTTAAATGGATTGGTNGAATGGTGATGATGAAGATGGCATTGAGAGTCCGTTATCACTGCTGAAGGATTCTTCCATGGTGGAGCCGCTTGGGAGCTGCGGGCGCAAAGTTATGGTGTGGTGGCTTCGTGTTGAAGGAAGGGCTGATAGCAAGTTCCCTCCCAGGTCTGTTATTCCGTTCACTGTCACTCTCTGAAATTATGTAAGTTTGAGTCAGCATAATTGCTCACTTCTTGGACAGTGAAGGGTGGAAAGACTAATCATGAATATAGAATGAAGGTCGAAGGTAAGAAGAAATAAACATTAACTTGCCAAGAAACATACTTTTGGTCTTGGGCTGGTATTTAAACCGGATGAGAAAAGAAAACTTGGTTAATACGGAGTATTAAAATAACCGGGGTCTCTTCGAAACAGCCTCTCAACTTTTGAGTAGGGGTATGGGTTGCATACTTTTGAGGGATTCACACTCTCCTTAGACCTTACTTGAGTGATTAAGCTAGCTTAACTCTTAGGCACAAGATGTTATTGACCTTAGCATTACTCATAATGAACTCTCTGTCATGGATGCAATCTCAATTAGCAATAGGAACTTTTGCCTTTTAACTTGGGTTCTTCAATGGTCCAACATTAAATCTTTGTGAGTAGCATGATAATCCTAGTTCTAGCACTGATTGCTGATTATCTATAGGTTTCTTGTCACAAGTTGCCAAAGTCGGGTTGGCAAATATCTTATACCTATCTAGACATCTTTTACTCTTTCCCTTGCAATTTAAGAGGTCATATTTGACTTTTTGTTGACAAAGTTTGTTGAATATTGACCAATGTTTGTACATTTTAATATACCTCCTAATGACTTTTGCACATTTATGGGAGTACTCTTAAAAAAGAACTTTTTTATATAACGCACATTGTAAATAATGTTTCATAAAAAACACTTCCTTTGTATGTAGTCAAGTTGAAAATAAGGATTGAAAAAAAAAAGAAATATGTCCTATTAAAGTAGGATGGAAATAATTACATTTTGAATTGGTGCCTCTCAATTTTTTGCTTACAACAACATGCCTTGATGGGGTGAGGGTGGCGTGGGGTTGCGTAGTGGTTGTGATGGGAGGGGGTGACGTAAGGGGCTAAGATAGGTGATTGGCTTGTTAACGTTATAAGCCTTCAAGTGATTGATATGCTATTCTTAAACGAATTCACTGCTGTTATTTTGACACCCGTTTTGGGTGTCACATTATGACTCCGGGGTGCTACTATGCTCCATTGGTTACCGAAGGAGTTCTTACCCCCTATTCACCCTAACCCCTTCCCCCACAAACCCTAGCCTCCCTTGGATCACCGATCAGGGCAAGGGCTAGGGGCTAAGATGGGTGATTGGCTTGTTAACGTTATAAGCCTTCAAATGATTGATATTCTATTCTTAAACCAATACACCACTGTTATTTTGACACCCATTTTGGGTGTCAGAACCACTTCGAGGTCCAACAGAGCACCATTGGGTCCTCAAATGGACGGTGTCATTTTATGATACCCATGTTTGGTATCATAAGATCTTTGCTCAAACCAATACCAGGATACATTCTTTATGCTTTGTTACAATGTGAGAGTAGATGAGGCCTTCATTGAAGTTAGAGGCATGCACATTTATAGTGTAAATTCACTTGCTTTTCATTTTATACACTGAACACATGCATAACATGCAATTAGATTCTTAGTTTTCATGCTTTTAGTCACCTCTATTGGAGTTGTCCACATTGAAATCTTTAGTTCAACCATCTCATGATATCATTTTTTTTGGTGCAAAGAAGTGAAATTTCGTTCTACATCTTTAGCATATCATCCTTGTGAAAAAGAGTATACCCACATAAAAATTAGCATTGTTAAGATGGTCTTTCTTGTAAGAAGTTTGCGCATGCGTTGTCCTTATAAAGTCACCCTTTATATATATGCAGATGGATAATTGACCCTCCATTGGAGATCACCGTGCCAGCAAAGCGGACCCCATGGCCAGATGCTCCACCAGAACACCCATCTGTTGTTGAAAAGTCAGGCAGCATCCGAGAGAAGAGGACAACAAAACCTAGAAGCAGCAGGAGGCACAGTTCTAGGAAAAGGAGGCATGCGGCTTTAACAAGGAATAATAATGGAGATGACGATGAAACCATGACCAAACACATTCTGGGGAGTCATGATAAGTAGCTGCAAGTAATTAAAGAAGCACACAGAAAACTGGAGAGTTGTGGAGATAACCAACAATTCTTCATCATCATCATCATCATCATCATCATCTTCTTCTTCTTCTGTTTATATTCATTCCTCTGCAGTGTGAGGAGTAGAGCTGGCCAGTCATGCATACATTCAAGTCTTCAACATATCATTATTTACCATTCATCATTACCATCCTCGTTTGGTACGTATATATGAGAGATGGCATCTCGATCTCGTCATAGCAGTGTTGATACATACATGCATACACACATACATACATGTTCGCTTTATTTATTTTGATATATTCTTTTATTTTTCTCATTCATGTTTTTATCCATTTCATTGGTTGAATGGTTGCCTCTGAATTCTGAACCTGTGAAGAAAAGTTTTGTTTTGCAACTGAAAATCTGGAAGTTATATGCCCAAGTCTGTGCATTGTGTTTAGATGCAAAGTGTGTGATCAATAGATTTTATTTTATTTTTATTTACTTTGGGGTTTGTATATTAATACTCTGTCCTTTCCAAAATCAAGTTTTCATTGACTTTTTTTGTCAATGTTATAATTTTTTTAACCATAAATTACATTAATTACTTTGAGTTATTAAGTGAATTAAGATTATGGTTCCTAAAAAAAGTGAATTAAGATTATTAATATTTGAAATGTGCGGAATACTATTATGTGAATTTTAACTACTTCGAGTAGATTGATGATTAAAATGCTAATTGTAGACAATTGATTTTTGTTCCCAAATGACCTTCGTTAATTTTGTTTTTTGTTCCTTCAAAAAATAAAATTATGTTAGTTGTGTGTGTTTTTGCATCCATGCGTGGAGCTTAATTCTATTCTGAACAATTACATTGAGGTCCCATTTGGTACACGGAATTCAAACTATGAAATTGGAATTGGAGACTTCAATTTCAATTCTGGTGTTTGGTAGTACATAAATTATCTGAATTTGGAATTGATAGTGCAAAACATGAATTAGAATTGGTGAATTCAATTCTATGGAATTCAATCCCATGAAATTTGAATTCTAATTCAATTTCAATTCCATCAATTCCATATACTAAATTGACCTGAGTATAAAGGGAAATGCTATTATGTTTAAGAAAAACATAGAGAAGTTTCCATTAACACCCCTAACCTCTTTTTAAACCCGATCATCACTCTCTTGGGTATTACTCCGTAGTCCGTAACTCCGTATTAGTGCTGTAGAGGCTTTTTTAATGGGAAGAAATTCCAAGTTCCAACTTTAACACACACATACATTGAGTCAATGGCTTATCCTCTGGCACAATCAGGATAATAGATCAAATATATCTCCGTTCATTCTTCCTTGAGAAATGTTACATTCACAAACAGAATGATCACAAAATACATAAACTTACTATTTATGGTTTAAATTCTTATTTTAAAATTAGTTTGTAGACTATTTAATTTTCTTTATTGAAGTTCACAAATAGTAAGTTTGTGAAGTTTGTAAAGTTTAAGTTTGTGAACCAAGCATTTTCTTCCTTCTTCAAAGGGATGCCACAAAAAGAATTCATAATTTAAGATCACTCTTTAATGAAGTACATTAATTGAATTGAATGAATAATTGATTTCAACATTAAAGGAATATCCCAACTTCACATGTTTGATTTTCTTTATGTACATGGACTCAACTCAACATTAAATTTGGATAAGGTCATGGGGTGTGACACTATCTTTTACTATAATAATGATCTTAATCAAGAAAATTGGTTAAAAATAGTATGGCGGGGACGACGATGAAAAAGAGGACCTAATTGGAAACTTTTCAAGTGCTTGAAGAACTTCTTTCATGGACGGTCTCTTCTGCGGGGTGTGAGATATACAACTGTACCCTAACCTAATGAGCGCCAACAAAGCTTCTTCTCTTCCCTCCACATCAGCGCGGATAGCCACGTCAGCAATCTTCAATACCCTACTTCTCTCATCGTCATCCTCCAACTTGGCATCTTCCATGACCGAGCCAGGACACATTTCGTCAGAAACAATCACTCTACCAATCAAAAACTCCAGCAAGATCACACCAAAAGAGAACACATCCCATTTTGGGTTGGGCTTGAGGCTCCGGAGTGACTCTGGGGCCTGATAAGGTGATATCCCAAATCCACTTGGACTTGGGCTAGGGGTGGGCCCAGATGCATTATCGTGGAAGCTATCCCGCGAAGCAGTCGACCGCTTGCTACCGAAGTTCCGAGCGGATCCGCAAGCCCGGTAGCCACTTTCGCTAGGGACGAGCCTCTCGAGCCCAAGATCTCCGATCTTGGGCTCCATGTCGGAGCCCAATAGTATGTTGCTGGGCTTTAGGTTGCCATGGACATGTTTCTTGTCGTGGATGTAGGCCAGGCCACGAGCCACGCCTTTGGCAATTTTGAGCCTTAACCGCCATGGTAGATGACAAGGTGAACACCCAGCTTTTCCTAAACAACACAGTACAATGTTAATAGGTGCCCATAATTAGCAAAATGCTACGTCCCAAAACTTGGAACATATAATAAAATGAAATACGAGTAACATTATTAGAAGTAGATCATATCTCACGGCAACAAAAAGACACAAAAATGCAAGTGGTGACAATGTCTTTGCTGGGGGACCTGGAGGGGGGTGTGGACCACTTAACTTTACTATACTTGATTATTAAAATGTTTTCAATTTGTTTTTATTTAAATATTATTTCTAAATCTTTAAAAATAGAATAAAATATTGGATATATTATAAAAAATTTAACTTGGGTGTTAAAATCTATATAACGGTTCCGTTTTTCAATAACGTCAGAGACTAGCATTAGTGTTTGAAACTAATATTACTCCCTATGAGTTAAAGAGAGAATTAAGAAAAAAAATATTGGTACACCAAAACCATAATGTAGTTGGTAAGATTTGAACTCGGACCGAACCTTGCATTTGTGTTTTGTTAATAATACTTTGTAATTTAAAATACGGAGTAATTAATTTATATTCTTACAAAAAAAAAAAAAAAAGAGGAGGTAGTGCCTATATATGAAGTTAGGTGGGTTGGGACGAAACGGAGTTGACCTTCACCAGAAAATGGTTTGATTGGGTATGAATGAGATGAGTAAGTCGCATTAAAAACAATGGTTTTGGTTACAACTACTCCCAAGTCCCACCATTATATCCTTAACTCTCTCTTCATGTCTCTCACACCTAGTGAGGGGCATATAGACTAAGACCGAAAAAATTGATTGCAATTAATTGAGATTAATCCAGAAAAAATGAGATCAATGTGGTCCTTGAGCCCAGTCCAGTTTTGGACCAGTAATCACATTTGGTCCTTGATTTTTTATAAAAGCCATGTTAGAGTATATAATAATCATTCTTGGGCAACAACCACAAGCTTGAGCTTTTGGTTGAGTTGGTTCCTTGACATGGTATCAGAGCCTTGATGACCAAGAGGTCACGAGTTCGAAACTCACCGCCACCCAGTTTAAAAAAAAATTAAGGTTTCACGTGCAAGGTTCAAAGAGGTCACGCCTGCACGTGAGGGGGCGTGTTAGAGTATATAACAATCATTTTTGGGCCACAACCACAAGCTTGAGCTTTTGGTTGAGTTGGTTCCTTGACAAGCCAGACCAGCCCCAGGTCGGATAATCTTTTTGAAAAGACTAGACCAGGACTAGATTAGAACTTTCCTCCCTTCCTTTTTAGGCTCTCTTCTTTTGAGTTAGAATTTTAGAGTAGATATTAGAAAAAACTAGAAGTAGTTGGAAAAACTAGAATGTGATAGAAAAAAGTAAGAGTTGGCAAAAATAAGAAGAATCAAAATGTTAAAAAGTCACTAAATCACATGATCAACCAAATAAATACTCCATATGCAAGAGAATTCTAATTTTGGATATAAAAAAATGCATCTGTATCTGTATTTGTGGTCGTATATTATAAATTTGGATATATTATATTATTGTATATTAATCATATATAATTAACTTTTTAAGTTCTTGTTTGAAGAAACTGAAAGAGTTGCAAGGAATTGAAAGAAGTTGGAAGAAGTTAGAAGGAGTTAGAATGCCTTGAACTTAATTTTTCTAACTTAAAAAAAACATAACCTTAGTAAGAAAAGTAATGAAGGAAAATAATCCATCCTCCCATATTTTCCTTCACCTTTCCAAGGTCCATGTTTATTTTTTAAATTAAATCTTAGTATATTGATATGATAGAAAAATTGGTGTGTTCATTAAAAAGAATTATTCAATTGTTAGTCCATAAAAATTGTAAGGATGTCTACATTTCATACATGGACTTTAGAACCATGATAAACAATTCTTGTAACTTACCATTATTCTTGCTTGGTACAATGGTACCTAGCAAAAATTTTCATCTTGATATATACAAAAATATATTATGTTTCGATATAAATATAACACGGAGTATCAATAATTTTCTTATAAAATGTACTTTTGAAATACTTTATACTACGATTAAATTTTCATAAAATATATTCATGTATAAATATAAATATTAATTGTCAAAATATTACATTAGACACTAAAAAATAGAAGGAGAAAGAAGAAAATTAATTGGAATATTACTTGGTCTTGACTTGAGTTAGAAAAGAAGAAAGACTTACTGTAACGTGTATTGGCGAGGCTGCCATTTGGAACGAAGTCATAGATGACCAGCTTCTCGTCGGCGCCCCAATAGAACCCTCTGATCCTCACCAGATTGGGGTGCACCAGCTTCGCTATCACCCGCACCTGCGTCTCGAACTCCCTGAACCGCTCCACCCCGCTCTCTCCGATCCGCCGGACCGCCAGCGCCGTCCCGTCTTCCAGCACCGCCTTGTACATTATGCTCGGCCCACTCGCTCCCAGTATGAACGCCGACGCCTTCAGCAGCGTTTCCAGCTCCAGCTCATTCTCTCCGTCTAGCGTCACTACCTCCCCTGTTTTCTGCTGCTCTGCTTCCACGTGGCTCTGTTTCGGCGACTCCGAGCTCGACGTTTCCGAGGTCTCGTCTGTGTCGGTTCGGCTCTGGCTCTTCAGGCAGCCTAATGGTTTTAGCCAGCTGTGTTCCGCCGGAGAGGGTGCCGATGACGATGCCCAGTCGTAGTATTTCGCGTTTTCCGGAGGTTTCTTTTCTTTAGAGCATTCTGCCGGTCTCTGTTTCTTGGACCCGTAGAGGTAGATGAAAAGCAGCGCAATGGCTCCGAGAGCGGCGATGTCTCCGGCTACAATGGCTATGATCGTTCCAGTTTTGAGACGGTTGTGCGAAGCGGTGGACGAACGGGGGCCGGAGTCTGGGTTTGATTCTATCGATTTTGGAATGGCTGCGATGGCCGGCGGCGAGGTCGGTGCCGGTGAAAGGCAGAGGTTTTCCAGTGGGACGCCGCATAGTCCTGCGTTACCGGAGTAGGCTCTCGCGTCTTGGTCCAAGAAAACGCTGGAATCCGGTATTGCACCGGTGAGGTTGTTGAAGGACAGATCGAGAGTCGCGCCCGGTGGAATGCCGGCGGAAAACTCGGGCGGGATTTCGCCGGAGAGTCTGTTGAATGAAGCATTGAAGTACCGCAGGTTGGCACCTCCGAACTCGGGCGGGAGAGACCCGTTTATCAAATTAGAAGACAAATCTAGTTCTTGGACGGCGTAGAAACCGCCGGGAAGTGGCCCGGAGAAGTAATTGTCTTTCAGGTTAACGGAGACCAGATTCTGAAGTCCGCATAAGCTCCCCGGAATCGACCCTCCTAAGGCGTTGCCGGAGAGATTGAGAGAACGAAGATTCTTGAGACGTCCGACTGCCTCCGGCAGCTCACCGGAGATTCGATTGTTCGAAAAATCAAGTCTTTGGAGCTCCGAAGCATCAAACAGACCCAAAGGAATCGACCCATTAATGGAATTGTTGGAGAGGTCGAGAAATCTGAGGAACCGAACCATGCCAAGACTCTCATGAACAGAAGCAAGAATCATGGAATCGGGGAGGCTCAGGCGGGTGACCCGGAGACCGCCGCCGGAAATGCCACCAGAAGCGTCATCCTCACAAGTAACGCCTCGCCAAGAACAGGGCGTCTCGTCGGCGGCGTTCCAGTTACCCAGCACGCCAAGAGGGTCTCTGAGAACACTGGACTTGAAACTCATCAACAGGACTCCGTCGCCGTTGAGGGAAAGTGAGGGAAGAACAAAGAGCAGAAGAAAGAAGAAGACGAAAAGAAAATGGAAAGTCATTGTGTGTGAAAAGGTGGCCAAAACATCTTCCTTTTTCCCCTCCCTAAAAACGGAGAGGGAGAAGACTGAGAAATAATGAAAGGTACTATGGGAAAGATCGAGAGAAAGAAGGGAGGGGGACCATGTGAAAATTATTCAAAGAGAGGAATAAAATAAAATAATTCACAGCTCATCATCCAAAACCGAAACAAGAACTTGCTTGACACTGAATCGCGTTTAGACCACTGCGGGTTGATTGATGATAGATCGTACTGTGTGAGAGATATGATGGGAGTATCTTTCAAAGTGATGAGCAATTAATGCATTGTGTGTACTCCAACAACTAATCACATCTTTTACCACTCCCACTCTTCTTTTCCACACCAACCATACTAGGCTCACACCAAAAAATATATTCCAAAAATACACTAAAATTATGCAATAACATTTTTGATAGTTTATATTAAGAAAAAATGTTAGTGCGCTAATAAAAATTTGTACTAATATTTTGTCTATGTGTAAACTATCACCCTAGCATTACACTTACACAAAATAAAGGTACAAACCTGCGATGTACAAATTGAAATACAAATAACTTAATTCTTTCCACTCTCTTAAAAAATACTCCCTCCCTCCTAAAACTTTTTTCCCCGTTGCGCAAAACGAAGAAAAATTCCAAATTTTTTCAATCTATTTTATTTAAATATTGGTATAGAAATAAAAAATAAAACATACATATTTAAAAACTGCATCAAAAGTTCAACAAAACAAGTTGTGACAAGAATATTTTATTTTATCATTTAGGCCATGAAAAAATACAAATAAATATAAATTTCCGTGAAGTTAGAATAGTGATCTGGGAAGAAAGTTTTAGAACGGAGGGAGTAGATATGAATTTGATTCTTGACAACGATACTAGAAAATACTCTCTTCGTTCCTAAATATTTATCACATTTCAAAAAATAAAGTAAAATATCAAATTTTTTCAATTCTTTTTAATTAAATATTGGTATTGAAATTTAAATAAAATCTACAAAAAAATAAAATAAAAAAAAGTTCTCATGAAGATTGAAAAATGAAATGTGGCAAACATTTTGGGAATGAGAGAGTAATTATGTTAGGAATGGAGTCCATCGTTCTATGATCGAAATCTAATTTACAGTATCTCCTCTTAGTGACCGTCTGGTCGAATTTGAGAGCCTCTCTCATCCTTAATTTTCAAATGTCAAATGTTCCAGAAACTCAAATATGAATTGATTGAATTCTTGCATAAATAAAAAAAAGAAAAATGAGCCCCATAATCGAAGAATTTTTCAAAATTGGCCGAATGGTTAATTACTTGAAACAAAATATATTGAGTTTTATATACAGATTAGTTCACAAAAAATAGAATCTACACCTGTATATATGCTTAATTAGCATAACTATTTTATAGTGCAGTTCACATATTCTTATTCTTTGTCAAGCTTAAATTATAGTTCAAATTATTTTCTTTAAGAGGCTTGTATATCTGATTTTGGGGTCTTTAGTGGGTTCATCTGTTTCATCTAGAAATTGAAACAAACATCAATTTAGAACGTAACCGATGACGAGTTAAACCAATTAATTTTGGCAAATGATATGATCAATTATAATTTGATAGAAATACTCATACTCCGAGGTTACTACTGGATATTTGTAATTATGAAAGGGTTCGCATGACATTGTAACTCCAGGTTTTGGGATGATCCGGGGTTGCTATGGTGTCATATTTGTAAAATTGATGGTTCATACACCCCCAGTAAATCCCCACCCCCTCACCTCCTTCAATCGCACCTCTCAAGTTTATACTACCTCCGTCCCAGAAAACCTTTATCCTTTCTTTTTTCATCCGTCCCAAAAAACATTCTCATTTCTATTAAAAAGTCACTTTTACCCCTTACTTTTTCTTACCCTACCTATCACATCATACCTTTTTACTAATAATCTATCCATCAAATCATACTTTTACCCATCACATCAAAGAACATTTTTGGAAATTCAATACCAAAATACACTCCCCTTAAATCTCCCTTCAAAATCAAAACTCTCATGTTTTCCGTGACGGAGAGAGTATGATTTTGAAGTTAAAATTTTGACTCCAAAGTCAAATAAACTTGGGGTGCAATTGAAGGGGGTGAGGGATACGTTCGAGTCTCAGCGAAGTGAGGGGGATTACCGGAGGTATAAATCGTTAATTTTACGAATGAAGCACCGTAGCAGTCACGAGTCATCCCATGACATGAGATTCTAATGTCATGGGAACCCCTCTTTTTAATTAATAAAAAAATACTTTAATTTGTAATATTACACTTCTCCATCTAATTTGTAATTTCATTGTAAATATACTATTTCACAATTTATATTTTTTTATTACTATTAAAGAGTAATATTAAATATTTAACGAATACTGAAAGGGAGAGTTACCTATGTAGCACTATAATGTATCTAAAATTATCTATATAACACTGCTTTGGTATTTCTGACATCAATAGGAGTATCTTGTGTGACATTATCTTCAATATGTTCATTCTTTCTTTTTTTCTTAATTCTTAAGATTATATTATTTTGGGTTACCACATTGTCTTCTCTTACCACATTGCCTCCCCCTATTGCCATCACTACCTCCCTTCCTCACCACATTGCATCCCCCGCGACTATCGCCACCACACTACCACCACCACCTCTACATTGCAACCCTTGATTGTATGTTTCAAAATAATTACAAGCTAAGCTACCTGCTGTTGATCCGCTTTGGTTTTATCTTTTGTCTGTATTCACATTAATCGAATTTGATGCATGCATGCATGTTGGGTGTGTGTTCCACAATCCATATTACTATTATTTCATGCCAGTTTCTCCGAAAAGAAATCATAGATTATTAGAAAACACAAATTTTAAAAATGGGTCATTTTGATGTAAATTTTTAATTATGATTTATCTACTATATATACACATTTATATTTTACCTTATTAATTCCTCCGTCCCTAAATCATTTACATTTTACTCAAAATGAAGAAAAATCTTAAATTTTTTCAATTCATATTATTTAAAAGTTGGTGTATAAATATAATTTTTTTTTACATATTTTAAAAATACATCAAAACTTACAAAACAAAAGGTGACAAAAACATTTTATTTCATCAAATAGTCAATAAAAACATACAAATAAACAAAAGTTCCGACATTTTTTGAGTAATAAATTATGTAAATCATTTAATGACGGAGAACATAAAATACGAGAAAATTAAAAAAAAAGTTTAATAGTAGTAGAAGAGATGAAAGTATGAGCTGTATGACATTTACCTATTTATGATTCTATCTTTTTTCTGTTTGACCCTAGCCTAAGGTAAGTCGAAGAAAGTCTAACGGTCTAAACACGTTCAAATTGCAAATTAAAAGACATATATGCTGGCGGCCAAAGATTAGAATTGTTACTTAAATAGTAGGGTTCTCCGCTCAATGTAAATCAAAGAAATTAGCTAAAGAGTGTTAGAATAAATATGCTAACATCCAATTACTGTAAGCTTTTTAAATGCAAAATTTTGAGCATTATAATCCCGAGTATGATTCAAGGTAACATAATTTTGCGTGTCCATTTTTTCCCCCAATTATAATGCCTATTTTCCAATGAATTTTGTGTGCCCATTTTTTTCTTAGTCACTATCCTCAAATTTGGCCAGTCTAGATAAACATTTAGCTATTCATTTTTAGATTCATACTTTGATTTGACACAAAGTTCAAAAAATGAAAATATATCGTCGTTGAAAGTGATAAACAGAGGAGAATGATTGCGAGCAACTAAAAATTTTTCATTAAAGAAAAGATGAGATTTTTTTAAACATCCAGAAAAAAGAAATAAAAAAGCTTTATTTAGGATGAATGGAATACTATTTTGGATATAATTTTGAACATTATATATTAATGAGGTCAAACGAACAACAAAATAATGAGGGGGCGGATGAGCAATTTGAAGAAAAGAATAAAAAGGGTAAAATATTTGTATGTGGGCGGCGGCAGCGTTTCTACTTGCGTAACATCACCGAATAAATAGAAATATTTACACTAAATAGCACTAAAATTTAAGTCATTTCTCTAAATAGCACTTAAACTGTTTTATTTCTTAAATAGCACTTAATAATGTCCATAATGTCCAGTGATGGTGAATATTTGCTTGAATAATGACTAATGCATAATGACTAAAAGTGCTACATTGGGAAGAAAAATATATGTGGTGCTATTTAGGGAAAGCCTTTATGTTTTAGTGCTATTTAAGTAAATTTTTCTTATTGTCTAATCTAACGTAAGAAACCTTATTACCTCTGTGTGATGTTTAAATTGTCTCCTCCACCTCGCCGGATATTCATACCTATCCCTCTAGCTAGCTAGCTAGCCTGCTTAGTTTTATTTTGGCAGATGTATGCACAAATTATATCATGACCTTACAAACATGGCTTTGACTTTTCACCTACAAATAGAAGTGAATTGAATAATACGGAGTAATATACAGCTAGCTAGATTGCGACGTGGAACATCCCTTTGTCCCTTATTTAAAGAAAAAAAATATTCTATTCCTTTCCAAACATCTAAACCACAGTTTCATAACCGAACTAGAGATCGAGCGGATCCCGAGACTGATTCAAAAGGTCGAACCAGTGGTTCAAGCATGCATGCATACACACACACAAGTTCACTTCAACCTAATACTATGGGGCATTACAAACTCGAGACTCTAAGGCCATCTGTAGTGAGGCGCGAGGATGGAGGCGTTATCATCGTTCACTATTCACACTTTGAGACCTCATCATTACTCTTTACGCACATCACAATACATATATCTTTACCAATCCACGTCATAAATCTTTATGCTCTATCAAGCCTTTGCTGAATCTGCCACCACACATGGTCTAATATGTAGTGTTTAGTTATAAATTCGCGTCATTAATTTATAGAGTAGATTTTAGTTATAACGATTCTTGCATTAAGGCTCAAAACAATAAATGTTAATTATTTCACTTTAGACAGATCACACCATATATGGAGTATATATTGGTTGTCCCTTTAATTTCACGAGCGAATCCAAAAAGATAATCACCACAATGGAGTGATGAGGGAATATAGCACACAATATAGTGACGCTCCATTGATGTAACATGCACCTGCTCAATTAAAGTTGACGCACTAACCACCAACTAATATTATTCTATATATACTTCTGATCACTAATCATTGATTTATAACTTTAAATAAAGTTGAATAAAGCGATATGCTACTCCATTCCTTTCACAAATTTTTTCCGTCTTAATGTTTTGTGTCTTTCGTAAAAAACTTCTATTCTCCCCTAAATTGTCTAAACTACACTCCATTACGTAGTTAATTGCAAGTGGACGTTATTTTGGAAGTATTTTAAATATTTTAATTGGAATAAAAGTATTTTATGATATGCGCAAAAAATTAAGACAAAAGAGTTTGTGAAACAGAGGAAGAGTTTGTGCATACACATTTTTGGTATAAAACAATTTAAAAGAAAATTTATGTGTTTAGGGTCCGTTTGGTATACGGAATTGATGAAATTGAATTGGAATTGAAATTTCATGGGATTCAATTCCATAGAATTGAATTCTGCTAATTCCAATTCATTTTTTGAACTATCAATTCCAAATCCACATAATCTTTGTGCTACCAAACACCAGAATTGGAATTGAAGTCTCCAATTCCAATTCCATATTTTGAATTCCGTGTACCAAACGGAGCCTTACGCATTTTCAGAAAATAACTTTGTAAAAAGTGTGTCTATAAATTTTGCGTTTGATGTACACGACACACGAGGAAGAAATATCTCGTTTGATTTAATCAGTCTATTTGAGCATAGTTGAGACAAACATGTGTGCAATACATTACATTGCAATTTACCAATAAAAAATTATTTTTAAACTAATATACATCACCATTTATGGCATCTGGATAAAATTATTTTTATACTAATATACATCATCATTTTTATTTAATTGAAATTCAAAATTGATCCTAAAATATTTTATGAAATATCAAGTATAGCTTAGGATTTAGATGGCGAAAAAAGTGCCTTATTTTATGGGATACGTATTATTCAGAATGTTTTACGGAGTATATGACAAACAATATTTGCCCAGAGTTCACACTTAAAATCCAATTACGGGTCTTAGGTAGGACGAGAGATTGTTACGTCGAAGGGGTAAATGGGGAAAGATCGACGAGGGTGGATTGCCCGTCTCGAATGAGTTCTGCCAGGGAAGCGCCGGTGGCGGGGCCGTTTAGGATGCCCCAACAGCTATGGCCCGCGGCGACGTAGAGTCCCTCCACGCCGGGAACTCTTCCTATGGCAGGCACCCCCTCCTCCGTACATGGCAGAAAGCACGCTTGTTCCGCCTTCACGGCCGCCTCCGCTTCCTCCGCCGCCAAGTGGCTGGACACGTTTCCGGCGACTCTCTTGAGCATCGCTATGGATTCGGGGTCTGGGTGTATCTCTTCCGGATCATCTGGAACCTCTGCCCTTGCTGACATTCCGCATACGTACACCTCTCCTGTTCGCAATATATACCATACAATCGGTTGTATACTATTTGTTGTGCATTCGATGTGAGTACTCAATTACGAGTAAATGGGTACTCATTTCCAAGCAATTGAATAATCATTCTCAACTAACTGAGTACTAATTTTTCTAGAATTCAGTTATATTTGAAAATAAATATTTAATTATTCAAAAATGAGTAATCTATAATTCGAAAATGAGTATTATCTTATTCGAAAATGAGTAATCAAGTGGATGAACGGGAAACAATTCAGTGAATTCAGAAATTTTGTTAAATATACTCCCAAATGCAAGTATATTCAAAAAAAATTCCAAAAACAATGACACCAAAATTGAGTAGGATGAAAATTTACTTCATTTTGTTTATTATTTATATAATCAAATTTTAATTACTCATTTCTCTACTTTTTTTTATTTAATAAAATAATAAAACAGTGCCTTTTTTATAACTTTTGATTTACTTTTAATATTTTTTTATTTCTACCCTAATTGTTAAATAAATTTATAAAAGAATAATTTTAAGATCCATGGTGTACCCCATTTGTACACTACCCTCTTCTCCACCACCTATTTTAAATTAATTTTTTTTTTTTTTATTTTCTTGCCCAATTATGTGGACAAGGAGGGGTGAGGGACAAATGGGGTACACCTTTGATGTACCCCTGACATTTTTCTAATTTTACCCCTGACATTTTTCTAATTTTAACCAAACCCGTAAACAACAAAGAACTAAAAAAAGTGACGAGCCTACTTGAGAGAGAAAGGCATGCATAGTTCATTTAGTTCAACTAATGGATGATACCTGTGGGCCGAGGATACACTTCTGGATCAATGGGCTCCTCACCTTGAGCATGGGCCGGATAGTAACTGAGAAACAGTGCATGCGGGGTAATTTTATCTCGCTCGTTAGGCTCCAAGACAATGCTATGGGCCTTAAGTCCATACACCCGGATAATGGACCTCAAAATGCCCAATTTGCTAGACCACGGCCCAAGAGCCAAAACGACAGCATCAGCTGCTATCTGTTCCCCTCCTTCCAACACGACGGCCGCCGCTCGCCCTCCGTCCACCGCAACCCTCTCCAATTTCCCGATCACCAACCCGGCGCCGTGATGCTCCACTGCTCTCGCCCACAGAGTTTTAGTGAACAGAAGAGGATGGACTTGGGCCGTGGTATCAGTAGTCCCGATCGTTTTTGGGCCCTTAGCTGGGCCGTCGACCCAAGACGGAAGCGCTGGGCTACGGCGGCCTCTGGAAAGAACCGACGGCGGCGATTCCTCGACGCTAACGCTCAGAGCCGTCAGCGGACGGTAGCCGTACGATTGAGGACCATCGAGTTCATCGGCGAGCGAACGGTGGAGATCGAAGCTGGCTCTTGCCAGGGCGGAAAGGGGCCCACCGTCGCACCAATCTCGTGCTAGAAACCCACCGGCCTTTCCGGAAGCGGCGCAGGCGATGGAGGATTTCTCCACAAGGGTCACTTTGGCTCCCTTTTTGGACAAGAAATAAGCGGTGCAAACTCCGATCACTCCGCCGCCGCAAACCACCACCCTTTTCGGTTGTGCAGCCTCCATTGACGCCAACGATCACCCGAAAGATGATAACCGAGGTCTCTGTATAGGGTAGCGCAAATAACGCGATGGCCGGAGATGATGCCACGTGTAGAATGTTTTAGGGATGACGCATGGCCTTTTTTCGGCAAACAATGTTAGGCTCACGATCAATAAACTTTAGACTCGATTTGAATTTTCATTTTAAAATTTCTTTATGATAAGTTTGGGAACATGGATTTGGATTTCAAATTTGGATTTGGCTTAAATTCCATGTTTAGGAAACTTAAGCATTTTGAATTTGGATTTGAATCAAATTCTTTACATTCAAAACAAAACTTAATTTGAAATTCATGCACTTTCCCTTGTCATTTGAAATTCATGGTTTCAAATTTTGGAATTGAAATGCATGAATTGAAATGAAATACTAGTTGCCAAACACTACCTTATATTATTTATTTTTTTATTAAAATTTACAAATAGTGAATTTGTGAATTTTGTGATCATTCTGTTTGTGAATCAAACATTTTTCTTTTTTTGGTACGTTATTTTCGTTTTCAACATATATATGAAGGATTGAGTATTTTTTCAGTTTTGGTTATAATTAATAAACTTTAATCGTTAAATAATTAAATTAGTATTTGATATTAATATAAAAGTAATTTTATTAGATCTATTAATATATGACTTTCTGTATACATTGAAAAATTAATGAATATGGACAAAAGATATGGTAATATTATTTAGTTTTAAATGTTTTTAAAAAAGTCACAATAGATAATTTATATATCTGATTGTTGGTTGTAGTCGTTATTAATAAGTTTTTATGTATTGTTTTATGATTATGTAATAATGTTATTTCAATTTGGTTTATTTAAATACTTTTAAAGTTTTCCAATAATCTAAAATTATTTGTGACTATATGAGTTGGTTAAATTCAAATACGAAATAGATGTAGATTCTATTATTTTGAATTGTAATTTTAGAGTTGGATGTTGAAAAAATTTAGGAGTTACAAGAAGTTGGAAAATATTGAAAGAATTTAAATGTTAAAAAGCCACTAATTAAATGATCACACAAACAAATATAAAAAAATCTAATTTTAGGTAAAAAAAAGAATTCATTATTGTTTTTCCAACCCAAATAACAGAGGTGTTATATCTTTTTTAGTAGCTTTAATACTCAATGCAGTACCTTTGCAATTTTACAATATTAAGATCTAATTAATATATTTAAATATCACACTCTCCAAAATGAAAATAATTTTATATCATTTGAATTTTAGAGACATGACTCTGAGCTTTTGATATTTTCCTCAGTAACTACGCACTTGTCATTATCAACCATCCCCCCTCTAACTAGTGATGGACCTGTTTGTGAATAGCGTTAAAGATTAGTTTTTATGTTTTGGAAAAGCCATCTACGAACAGTATTTAGCGTTAGCGTTTTCATAGTTAACCTGTACCATTAAAATTTTATCCAAAACTCTAACGCTAATCGAAAACGTTACTTTCAGACATGTCCGATATCATTACAAATTTTCGTAATAAAATCTTTTGCTTTAAATTTAGAACGCATTTCGTTTCTTTTTTCAAATTTTAGCTTCTATTTTATACGGAGCAAAAATAACCCTAGGTAACAAAGAGGTAACAAATGTGGCCTTGAATAAAAAATACTCCGTAACACGAGGTAACAAAGAGTTCCACACAAATGTTCCCCTCACTTTTTGAGACTCTTTGTATCAACTCTGAATGGTCACGACTCACGAATATGTTTTTAGTAGAATAGGGTTTGCTACCGAGAAAGTTATGGCGGCGCAGCTTATTGCTCGCTTACCACCAGTCTACCACCTTGATTTGGGGAGGTTTATTTATTTTTTTCACTTTGTTAGCTATTGACTCGGTCAACAATGGGTCTATACCCATCATACTAAGATAATCAAGCGTTTATTTTCATAATCACGTTATGAGATGGTGATGATAAGAAGATTATTACGGAGTACGAACCATTAGTTTAATTTTGTGTAACAAGCACCAAAGAAAAATAACCGAGTCACGTTGTACATGATTTTTTTAAAAAAAAAATAAAGTAAAAATTAGAAGTCACACACACCGACGGGTAAGAAAGTCAAAGGTCCAAATAAAGTTTGTCATGTGAACAAAATCAGTTACGCATAGTAATGTTCACGCGTGTGTGGTACAAACCCCAACGGCAATACCAAACCAAACAATACTCTGTCTTGGGTACGACGTACGTATCCGTAACCCAAATCCCATCTTACCTTATTTATTGCACTCCCCGCACCCTCACTTCTCTAATTACAGTCTGTCACTAAATTTTGATTAAAGTCTAATTTATTTTTCTGTAGTGATCGTCCAATCGGGTCTGGGGGGTCTCGGGGTTGGGGCTTATCCTTTTCTAATTACAGCCTACTCTTTTGGAGGGAAAAAGTCAGGAGTAAAATGAAAAAATTGAAGAAATTAGAAAAATTAAAAAGAACAATAAAAATCCAGATGAAATTAAAAAAAAATAAAAGAAACTTGAACTAACTAGTAAAATAAGAAAAACCTTCAAAAATTTATTTAAGCGTAGTTTACATAGTACATTGTCCAACAAAAAAAGTCAAATCAAAATTCTAAAACTAGACTGCTTGACAATCGATCAAATAAATAAAAAATAAAAATTTAAAAATAATGTTTCAATAGATATTTGTCTAGAGAAAAAATGAAATGCAAATATGATGGAAAGTAAAGTATAATTTTCTAGAAGATAAGTCAGATTATTAGTCATTAATATAAGACAAATAAATACACAAGTTAAGAAAATAGTGAAAGGGCATACACCCCTCAAAACAAGAGGTGGAAAAAATATTTTATTTTGTCAAATAATCGATGAAAGCGTATAAATAAACAAGAGATTACCACAGTGGCGTACTGGCGGCGTGAAAGAAAGTGCCGCCGCAGTCCGTACACGTGAAGTTGGGAGGGGAAAAACAGGGTTTCCTGCAGTTTTCCGGGGGAAGGAAAGAACTCCGTAACGGAATGGCATTTCTTTGCTTCTATTTAATTTTCTGTCTCATATTCAATCTGTAAACAAAAATTCATTTAAATTCATTTCAATGTCCACATGAATAAATTAACTATAACGTACCTCTCAAAATTTTGTGGGATGTTCATTCGGATTTGATTGTGCCTTGATTATTTTGAATCACTATATTGAAAAAAAGTAATGCTAGAGTCACAAAAAGCAAGTTTGTGAACTATTTATTTGTAACTTAAATAATAAATTGCTACTCCTTAGTCCTTACGTCCTTAAAAATTGTTATATTTTGAGTTTTTGATCAAATTGTAGCATTTTTTGATCAAAAATTAAATATATTTTAAAATACTTAAATATTATAAAGAATTGATATTTTAAAACTATATTTTAAAATAAATATAATTTTACTAAGTTTGTATTTGGATGGGGTGAATTCAGTGGCGGATCCAAAAATTGAAGTAGATGGGGGCATCATTGATCGGTAGTCTAGAAATATTTATTAAATGTAAAATATTTTTTAATATGTAAAGTGAAATTTTATTTTATAAACAATTAATTTTATACAAAAAAATACTCTTTACTAAAAACATTAAACAAAAAATTTAAACTTGACCAAATTAGATAAGATCACATTAATTTTTTGTTGGGGGCATATCTATATAAAATTTTAAAAAATGATATTTTTAATCTTATCACAAGAAATTAGTTGGGGGCATTTGCCCCCTACTCATCCTTAGTGGATCCGCCCCTGGGTGAAGTGAAATTAGAGGGAAAGAAAGGGCTTGAAAAGGACACAATCCTAAAAAAAAATTCCTTTGTTTGCAAGAGAAAATGGAGAGGGAAAGGAAAATGACTCCCACCCCAAGTTAAAAAAAATTCTCCTCAATGGAGAGAAAATTATGGAAATGACACTTTTACCCTTTATTACATTCACTTTTAAAAATATAGATATATAATAAAGGTGAAATTATTATTTTTTATTTTAACATATTTTTTTCTCTTACTTTTTCTCTCCATTTTGTACATATCAAAACAACATTCATTTTCTTTTCATTTTCTCTCCTTTTTATCATCTCTTCCTTTTCTTTCCACCCACTTTCTCTCCTTCCATTTTCTCTCTTTATCCAAACAATGTCTAAATTTACCTTATAACTAAATACCTTTTTAAAATTCGTGGTCAAAATGTATCACAGTTTGACAAAAAAAGTTAAATTATGGTAATTTTTTAAGAATGAAGAGAGTACAACATTTTAATATAGTCAATATCATGAAAAATATTATTTCATCCGTGTCAAAATGATTTATTTCTTTATTATTACATGCCCTCGATAATTTTGTTTGTTTACATATTTCCATTGATGATTTAATAAAATAAATTTAATTTGTAACTTCTTGCTTTGTAAAACTTTTTGTGTATTTTTAAATGATAATTTTTATTTTTGATTTCAATACCAATTTGTAAATAAAATAATTTTAAAAATCATGAGATTTTAAACATTGGTCGAAATAAATAATTCATTTTGGAATCGAGGGAGTATTAATTTGAGATCCACATATTATTGATGGGTGTATTCCACCCACGACCGGTCAAAAGAGAAGACCAATTAGTTGACCGGTCAATCTAGAAAGTTTTGGAAGGGAAACTTAAATCGTCAGCAAATCGATATGTGATCGGCCCAAAGATGACCGGTATACTTCACGAAAAAGTATACCGGTCAAACTACGTTGTCACCCTATTTTTCCCTAACTTCGATGATTTCATCCCACGGAGATTACCCGGTGTAGTTTCTAGGGTTGGAAAGTGTCGGCAGAAGAGAATCTAAGAGGGCTTGGCGTGTAGCGACCCATGTCAGTAGAGGACAACTGGAGATGCTGAAGAATCCATCCAAGGCACTACTCGACAAAGGGAATAATCCCCCTCACAAGGCGACAAGGCAGCTCGAGGACGAAACCAGTCACCTCGCACCACATCAGCAGCATGCCCCCACGTGGGCGCACGTGGTCTTATCCCCCATAGCCTAGTATAAATACTCATGTAAACCTAAGAAAGGTGGATCCGAATTCATTCTCTCTAAACTCCCTTGTAAAAGCACCCGTGCATTCTCCGTTATAATATAAATTGGGCTACAGGTGTTCCACCTAAAGTCCTACCGGTCAATCTGCGTGTTTTTACCTTCCTCACTTTACCGAATCAAGCAAACTATTCTAGACCCGGTCTAGTATAGTTTGACCGGTCAAGTAATTTACACCATCATTTTTGGCGCCGACCGTGGGACCGTTGAGGTTTCTTCTCTTCTAAACACAAACCTACCCACAAAAACACCACTCAAAATGTCTTCCAGTCAGCAAATCAACGCTACTTCCACTCAGGTGCCAGCCACCAATGAGGGCACCACCAGTATCCCTGCGGTTGCTACCATACCGGTCATTTCGGCCCCAGTGTTGCCTTTGGGTCTGAGCTCTGTCCCGACGCCTAGCGTGATCAGCCCGTTCACGACCCCTCCGCTGGACCAAGGGTCACGTTCCCACCAAGCATGACTCAGTTCATGAATGACCCAGCCAACCTACAAGCCATCCAGGGCTTTGGTCAGGTCATGGCCATGTGCCAACAGAACGGGGGGATGCCTTTTCTCCCTGGTATGTTCCCGTTCGCTCTTCCAGGCGCGGGAACCATGCCCCTACAAGCTCCGATGGCGGTGACGTCGTTCCAGACACCGATGCCGCAGCCATCACCTTTCCAGCCGCAGCTGGTCAGCACTATAGCTCCTATCAACTTGACTGGCGCGCTTAACGCTGCAGGGCCGTCGCATCCCCCGCAAGGTACGAATCCGCAGATCACTCCTCCGGAAAACCCTACCGGTCAATACGGAAGAATGCCAAGAAATTCGGAAAGCACCGGTCATTCCTCCGGAAAACCCTACCGGTCAAACAGGGCGGCAGTGGTCGGGCACCTATTGTTCGTACCACAGGTCAGATTCCCATAACACCTCTGAATGCAAGAGTGTTAAGGGAGTAATCCGGCAGATGATAGACAATGGAGAACTGGGCAAGGATTACTTGCAGAAAGCCCAGGAGAAGAGCCATCAATGGGTCAGACCAGCAACCCAGGGGAATGACCGGGACAATGACCGACGGAGGAACAACCGGCAGAGGGAGCAGCAGCCGGCCGTTGAAAAAGAACACATAGGCATGATCTTCAGCGGACCTGAGGGTGGAGATTTAGCCGTGCAACGGAAGAACTGGGTCCGGAGCATTTACGTTGGTGAGGTGAGCGCTGAACCACCCAGGCATAAGCATACTAGGAGGGAGCCGATCGTCTTTACTGACCGGGATCTCCCTCCTACCGGTGAAGATCACAATGATCCATTGGTCATCACCATGGACATAAATGGGGTGGATGTCGCCCGGGTACTTGTTGACACCGGCAGTAGTGTCAACATCTTATACCTGGAGACTTTCCAAAAACTCAGGTTGTGTCAGACACAACTTGAACCCCTCAAAACCCCTCTCTCAGGCTTCACGGGGGACACCGTTGAAGCTGAAGGATCCATAGTTCTACCGGTCAAACTAGGATTAGGCGAGAAGACCGTGTGGAAGAAGATGCGGTTCATCGTTGTGGACATTAAATGCGTCCACAACGCAATTCTTGGAAGGCCAGGCATCAATAAAGTCGGGGCGGTGATTTCCATGCCTCATCTATGCATGAAGTTCCACACTCCAGGTGGTGTGGGTGAGGTGAAGGGTGACCAGAGGAATGCCCGGGAATGCTATGCCCGGGGAGTCAAGAAGATGACCAAGGGGGTCAATGTCATCTCCCAAGAGATCACAAAGGGAGAGACCCGGGAGAGATTGGAGCTCGAGGCCGAGACGGTGGAAATCGAACTTCACCCAGGTGATTCTTCGAGGATGGTCAGAATTGGAGCAAATCTCCCCGAGGATCTCAAGGCAGAGATTACACGGGTCCTCCAAGAATACGCGGGCATATTCGCGTGGAGCGTGGCGGATATGCCCGGAATAGATCACTCTGTTATCTGCCACCGGTTGGCCGTGAGGGAAGGAAGTCGACCGGTATGTCAGAAGAAGCGGTACCTGGCCAGTGACCGGCGAGACTTCATCAAGAAGGAAGTGAAGGACCTCCTCTGTGTTGGTCACATCCGGGAAGTCAAATACCTGGATTGGCTGGCCAACGTTGTCCTTGCTCCCAAGGGCGACACGTGGAGAATGTGTGTGGATTATACGGACTTGAACAAGGCTTGTCCGATGGATTCATACCCCCTTCCCAGTCCAGATCAAATGGTGGACGAAACTGCAGGGTGCGAACTCCTAAGTTTCATGGACGCCTTCAAGGGCTACCACCAAATCTACATAGCCAAGGAAGATGAAGAGAAGACGTCATTCCTCACACCCGAAGGAACCTACTGCTACCGGGTAATGGCGTTTGGCTTGAAGAACTCTGGAGCAACCTACCAACGCATGGTGAACAAACTCTTAAGCCCCTACTGGGAAAGACCATGGAAGCATACGTCGACGACATACTGATCAAGAGCCAGGTATCTCTCAACCACCCGGCTGATATGCGAGCCACGTTCGATATCATGGCAAAATACAACCTCCGGCTGAATCCTAAGAAGTGCGTCTTCGCGGTTCACACCGGGAAGTTCCTGGGATTCATGGTGACCAAGAGAGGAATAGAGCCCAACCTAGAAAAAATCCGGGCCATCACTGAAATGCAAGCCCCTACCTCCGTTAGGGATGTCCAGAAGTTGACCGGTCGTCTAGCGGCCCTCAGCCGGTTCCTTTCCCGGTCAGCTAAGAGATCCCTGCCTTTCTTCAAAGTTCTGAAGAAGGCCAACACATTTGCATGGGACGAAGAATGCCACAGGGCATTTGAGGAGCTGAAAGAGTACCTAGCGTCGGATATTGTATTGTCTAAACCCAAACCGGGTGAAACTCTGTATCTGTACCTGGGAATTTCCCCAAATGCTGTAAGCTCCGTTTTAATAAGAGACGATGGGGCACAAAAGCCCATTTATTATGTGAGCAAAGCACTAAACGGAGCAGAAAGTAGATATACGGTGATGGAAAAGACAGCCTATGCGCTTTTCATCTCCGCAAAAAAGTTAACATCCTACTTCCAAGCTCACCCGGTGGAAGTCTTGACTGACCAACCGCTGGGTGCAATGTTGCGAAATTCAACATCCTCTGGGAGGATGGTGAAGTGGGCGATGATGTTAACTCAATTCAACATTGAGTACCGGCAATCAAGGGACATGCCCTTGCAGACTTTCTGGTAGAAATGACCAGTCTAACTCCAGACCTACCGGTCAACAAGCCCACTGAGCAATGGTGGGAGATGGCAGTTGATGGGGCATCCGGTCCTAGAGGATACGGGGGTGGTATCGTGTTCACCACCCTAGAAGGGTTCAAGATCTACCATGCAATCGTCTTCAACTTCAAGCTGACGAACAATGAGGCAGAATATGAAGCTCTGGCTGGAGGGCTCAGACTTGCCCAAGCCCTGAAAATCAGTCGGGTCAGTATCAAATCTGACTCTAGCCTGATTGTTGGGCAAGTGACCGGTAACATGGAAGCAAGGGAAGGACGCATTGCACAATATAAGGACCTTGTACTTGCCCTGTTGAAAGGCTTCGAAGAGTTCAAGATCGCCCAAATTCCCCAGGCGGATAACGCGGATGCAGACCTTCTCTCCAAGTTGACGCAGTATGCTCCCGAGCATGTTTCAAAACTTGCCCGGGTGTAAATCCTGGATCGAGCTAACATCGAAAAATTGGAAGTCGCCGCTATAACAGCCGGAAGTCAATCTGACCGGTCAAACTTGGTCGGGGCGGATGACCATTAGATGTACGATCTAATGGAATACTTGATGGATGGAAGCTTGCCAGAACAAGATGACCGGGCAAGAAAAGTGAAGCTCAAGGCACCCCGATTCCAGGTCCTTGATGGAAAACTGTATAAAAGGGCATTTGGGGGGCCACTCTTGAGATGTCTAACTAACCGGGAGGCTGAACGAGTCATAGCGGAGGTCCACGAAGGCGTATGCGCGGCGCATCAAATGTCCCGTACGCTTTCCCAGCGCATCATCTTATTGGGGTATTACTGGCCGACAATTGTCCAGGATTGTGAAAGGTATGTTCAGAAATGCAGGACATGCCAATTATTCTACAAGTATCCCGGTAGACCGGCAACCTACTATCACCCCGTATCGAATGTCATCCCATTCGCTAGGTTCGGGGTTGATATCATTGGAGCGTTCCCAATCGCCCAAGGAGGGAAGAAGTTCGTAATCGTGGCCATCGATTACTTCACCAAATGGATCGAAGCCGAAGCGTTGGCCAACATCACCACGCAGCAATGCAAGAAATTCATTTGGAAGAACATCGTCACGAGGTTTGGAGCGCCCATGAACCTCATCACCGACAACGGCCCACAATTCCGAAATCCGAGATTCACCGAATACTTGGAGGGTTTCGGAATCAAGCACAATCGCTCCTCGGTAGCGTACCCCCAAGGGAATGGCCAAATCGAAAACGCCAACAGAACGATTGTGGATGGTCTAAAGAAACGGCTGGGGGAAGCAGGAAACAAGTGGCTGGAAGAGCTCCCACACATCGTATGGGCATTCCGAGTAACACCCAGGAGGGCTCACGGGGAAACTCCATTCTCCCTAACCTATGGGTGTGAAGCAAGGCTGCCCATCGAAGCTGAATTCCCAACGTTCCGGGAATTAAATTATCAACCCCAATAGAATGAAGAGGACCATCTAGCCGAGCTCAACTTGGTCGAGGAACGAAGAATGGCCGCGGAGGTTAAAATGAGTACATACCAACAAGTTGTGAAGAAGTACCATGACAACAAGGTTGGGCCGCGGTACTTCCAAGTTGGGGATGAAGTCCTACGAAGAAGAGAATCAAGTAGACCCGGCGATGGAGGAAAGCTGGCAAAAAACTGGGAAGGCCCATACAGGGTTAGAGCCATCATTCGCCCAGGAACCTACCGGTTAGAAACTTTAGATGGTGTACCGATAGAAAGAACTTAGAATTCCCACCATCTTCGCAAGTTCTACAAATGATTGTAATACTAGGCGAGGCCTAACTACATTATAAATCAAAATGATGTTCAATACTCTACTTGGTAGCGGCGGAATTGATAGGTCGAACCTATCCTAGGAGGGCTTTCCGGGTGGATCAAATCCATTTGGATAAGCCAACTGAGACACAGGCCCGGACCTGGCACGCTGGTTACTACACCGGTCTTGCTCAGTATAATAGAAAAAATATTAAAACCCGGAAGAGGGGCCCGGAAGAGGGTATGCCTGCAAGAGGGCTGGACCTAGAAGAAGGTTCGAACCGTACTTACACGGGCCCATGAGGTTTGACCGGTATCGGGAAATCAGCCAGCACCGTCAAACTGAGTGGGGACTAAAAGATGCCCATTAAAAGAAATAGAAGGGGATCGTCCACCGTGGCGCATCCTGTTTCCCCCTTCTCAGGGAATACTTGGACGGGGGAGTGAGCTAAGGCTTTCCCGGGATAGTAGAAATTAAAGGGCCATTAAAAGACTTAATCACCCGGAAGAGGGGGCCCTGGAAGAAGGGTGCATTTGGACCTTGGAGAGGGTTCGAAACCATTCGACATGGTTAAATCTCCAGTATTCTTACCGGTTAAGGATACTTCAAGAATTACTAGGTTACAGGTGTTTCCATCTACAACCTACCGGTCAAAAAAAAAAAGAATACCCCGGTCAGGTATGGGCGCAACAGAACTTTGAAAGTTCTACAAGGCAAGGCAGTTGACTGGTCAGACCATGGAGTGGAACCTACCGGTCAAACTGTACTCTATCGAAGAATTCGTGAAGCTATCTAAAAAAATGAAGTTCAGCCGGTTTACTCTAGTTCAACCGGGTTGGACCTAGCGTATTCAAAAACAAGCCAAGAAAGCGAAAATTGAAGTTTGACCGGTCAAAGTTACTCGGGCTGATGCTTGAGATAAAGTGATCAGAGAGAACTTTGGAGTTCTGCCGGTCGGAAACAATTGAAGTGGCCTGATTTATTTACCGGTCGGAATTTCTATGATGATATTTTAAGAAGTAAGAGCAAAGTATTAATCAACAAACAGGCAGATATGGAAGATCAACCGGTATGGAAATTAAACATGGCATTCAAGTGAAATAAAAATGTTAAATGTTTACAGACACACCGGGCATACCCGGGGAAATTGATAAGGTTTCAAGTTTACAAGACAACCGGTCCGAACCGGGGAGATCCTAATCTAGGGGGAAGGGGGGAGTTGGCTCTTCCTCTGGGATAGGAGCCAGGCCGTAGGAAGCCGCAGTGAAGGCCGGGTCTCTCTTCAGGAGGATCCGGTGGGAGGTTGCCCGGTCTTTCTTCTGGCCGCTTTTGAATCCGAAGGACCCAATCGCGGTTATCATCTTCTTTCCTTCACGCTCCCGGTACAGAAGCCTGAAGGATTCCATGGTAGCTTCTGGGCTCGCCGTCATCACCCGGGCAGCTTCGGCCTTATTTTCCTCAACCCAGGCAGCTGCGTGCCCGGGGAAGTTTTCTTCCTTCTCCGCCATCTCCCTTTTGGTTTCAGAGACTTCATCCATGAGCCGGCCATTCTCCTCCTTCAGCTGGGAGATCTCGGTCTTCATTGCCCCGGCCAGCCTAGACAGCCTGATCAACTCATCAGCCTGGCTCTTCAGGATAAGGACCATCTCTTCTTTCTCCTTCTTCAGCCGGTCGACTTCGGAAGGGGAACTCATCCCCAACCGGTCCACTGTATGCGGCCCAATCTCCCCCGCCTGTACAAGAAAGAAATAGCCCGGTAAGTTTCTCGACAAAGAAAAAAGAAGATCAAGACCGGGATAGCAGCAGGACTTACCTCCTTCAGCCTCAGCCCCAGATTGATGAAGGCCTCTTCGATGGTCTGGTCGGCCGGCTCAGGATCCAACCTTGCCCTCTTCTTGGCGTAAGAAGGGTGCGTGGTGGCCACCTTCTTCGTCCGTCGACCGGCCTTTTCCTTTTCCTTCCCCTTAGACCGGTTGTCTTGGGGCTCGTCTTCATCAAGGATTTCCACGGTCTCTGGATTAAATGGGAAGGTTTTGGCAGTGTTGGCTTGGGAGCCCCCGGTCTCTCCCGCTGGTTGGTCATCGGGGATGGCGAACTCCTCGAACTCCATATCTGCAAAAGAAGCTAAAATCGTTAAGTACAAGAAACGACACCGGTCAAAGCGCCAATCACA